TCTCTCTCTCTCTCTCTCTCTCTCTCTCTCTCTCTCTCTCTCTCTTTTGCTCGTGGAACGACGAGAAAAGAAAGAGGCAAACATAAAGGCAGAAAAATCTAGGACATTGAAAATCAGTTCGTATCGCACATCTATGGAATGAAACGAGAGCGCCGCATAAATTGATTGCTAGTTGGGTTCAAAGAAATAATAATCGTGCCGTCGTGTCATTCCAGTCGAAGACTTTAAGTCACGCGGAATCAACACAAACAATCAATCACTTCAAACAACTTGGATTTTAAGATGTTTACACGGAGAGAATTTTTATATAGAAATTCTTTTTTGAATTTTACTATATTTTTAATAGAGTAGGCATAGATTGTTAACAACGTATATTTTACTAAAAACTAATAAATTTCACTAAGAACTTAGCACATTTTTTTAATTAGCATATGTTAGTTCCTAAAATAATATATTAAATGAAAGGATAATAAATTATTACAGAATGTCAATTTATTCCTAAGTTACAAAATACTGTAGTAACTTCTGTAATAAAATTCTCTCCGTGTAAAGTACAATCGAGATATCATTTCGTTACGTCGAATTGCAAACGCATTTTATTTTAAATCACAGACATTCGAGCCTCTCTTTCCCAAAGATTGAACATAAGAATTAAGCTTAAAATGTTTTAATCAAACGTTTTGAAAATTTTACGTTTGATTAAATTAATCAAACGTGAAAGGACAAAATAAGCGCGACTTTGCTAATTCATAATATTGCAATTTTAGCGAAGAAGCTTCCGCAAGATGTAAATCCGAAGGGTGTTTTTGCGTGCAACGAGCTCGACTTGAAAGAGGTCCAAGTCTATGGATTCGATTACGATTACACACTGGCATGCTACAAGCCGTCCATGGACCACTTACTTTACAGTCTGGGACGCGACATGCTTATTAAGAAATACAAGGTTTTTATTATTTTATTATTTTATTATTTTATTATTTTATTATTAGGTTTTTATTATTGCGATGCACTCGTTTACTCAAATATGACTTCACTGTCCCGAGCAGCACATATTAGTTAGCCAATGATGCACCACTATAGATTCTACATTGATTGTTATTTCAACATTGACCCTCGTGTTGCTCGGGATGAGCTCTTACTCGGCTGTAACTTTTACTGAATACGTTTGATGATAATCGATACGGCGAAATATTAGCGTCTACATTGGGGAAAGTCATTTTGTTGAGCTGCACAAACTGAAAGCAATCTCTATTCTATCGAAAAATGCGCGGGAAAGTTAAGAAAATTAAAAAGTATGATGAGAAAAAACGCCGCGCGAAACTTCGCGACTTGTCTTTATCTCAAAGGACAGCTGCTCGGCACTTCTGCCGAAATCAAAAGACAATTACAGCCGATTAGAATTTCATCTTCAACTTCCCTTAAACTTGTTTAATTGTCCCTCCAGTACCCGGAGGGAATTGGCAATCTGGAGTACAGGGAAAATTTCGCCGTCCGCGGCCTCCATTACGACATCGAAAAGGGTCTTCTCCTGAAGCTTGACAGCTTCTTGCAAATTCAATTTGGCACCGTTTATCGTGGTTTACATCAGATACCCGACGACGAGGTCCTACGGGTCTACAAAAATAGGATAATACCGATAGCCTACGTAGAGGCACCACATAAACACTCCCACGTAAGTTTATTATCGGAAAAACGCGAGCCTCGGTCGAGACGAAAAGTACGACACGTCAAGTAAAAATCGCGCTTCTCAAGCCCACAGAGACAACCCAAGTCGAAGTTTTAATCCTATTTTCGACCTCAATATTCCACTTAACATACCTACTTTAATACTCTGAAGTCTATCAACTTCTTTTCATTCTACTTAACTTGCTTAACTTTGCCAAGAGTATTTGTATTGTATTTCCAATATTGTACTTCAAATACTACTATAAATTGTGAACTCTTTTCACTGCTGTATTTTGAAAACAAGATGGTCAGTAATTCCGGAATTTTGCATAATGTGTGTCTATATATTAATCTTTAATATAATAATAATTTTTTTATCAAAATCTCATACATTTAGAAGATATTTAGAAAATTAAAAAAGGCACGCTAGAACACGTGTAAAAAGTATCAACTTTACTAACATTTCAGCTCTGGAATGATGATTCTTCTTCTAACTGCAGTTAGCAGTTAGAGCAATTCGATAATAATTCACTGCATATTGCATAGTGCAATGTAGTTTCACCAAATTTTCACGAAACTCGTTTCATGATAGAACTGCTTTAAAGGCGCTAGAAAATTTAAGTCGAAAGTAGGGCTGAAATTTCGACTCGGGAATGAGTCGAAATTTGTTTAAAGATACAAATTTCAGACACGAAATGTTGGAGAAACTCCGATAAGTATCTGTGACCTCAGTTATATGCTATACTCGGTTTCAATACGAGCAGAACAATTTTTTTCAATGAAATGATTATGAAAAAACTAAATTTCTCTGACAATTAATTAAAAGCAAATTCTCTTATTGGACCGTCGGCTGTGTTTCGGACAGCAAAATCGAGAAAAAGTGTTCAAACCATATTGAAACCAAGTGTATATCTTCTGTGTAATATACGAAACGCGATCTCTTCTTTGCGAGTTGGCAAAATTTAGCTCGTTTCAGTCGTCGGGAAGGCATTTTCTCCGGAATTTTCTCTTTCCCGCTGCTTCGTTGAAACGAAGCGTAGAGATCGCACAATTTACATCATCAATAAAGAAACAAAATTTTCGACATTAAACGCCCAACCTCCTCTCTCTTTCTCTGTTTGCATATGGCAACATGTGTGTTTTTGACGATGGGTCGTTTCGATGCGCAGAAGGTACGTACACTTATTGCCGTTCACGACGTGCGTAGAAATTTCTGAAAATATCTGATGATATTTTCTTTTCTTTCTTTTTCCATTCTAGGATGCTCTGCAACGCACGAAGATGGTTCAATTAGCCGATCTGTTTTCCGTGCCAGAAATGGGTCTGCTGTGTAATGTCACAGAGTACTTTCTGCGAAATCACATCGATTATCATCCCGAGATACTGTTTAGAGACGTCAAGGTAAACTGGATAATCTGAATTACAGCCGGTTGCGTATTCATACAGATCGATTTCACGAGAGATGAATTTTATATAATATCTAGAATTCCGTACAAAGCTGCCATCCTATAATGCATCAATTAGTAGTGGAGAATGTATCGGAATACCTGGAGCAAAATAAAGATCTGAGACGATTCTTCGATCGACTTAGACACGCAAAGAAGAATACGTTTCTGGTGACAAATAGTCCTTTCCACTTCGTGTAAGTTCTCCGTTGCAGCATTTTGCTGCTGTATGACAACTTATATTATTACTTCGCTTTTTACATGCTAATTCTATTACATTTTGTATACGCATCACACATATTTAGGACATCATGGAGAAAATGTTGTAATAAGAATTACGTAAAACTTTTTTATTTTATTTTATTTTATTTTATTTTACAGTATCTTCTGTAAAGCTGGATATCGACATTATATTATAAACAGCTGGACTATATCGACATTATATTATAAATTATTATAGAAAAAATAATTGGATCATTTATATTGAATATATGATATAGGAAATAATGAAGTAATTACAATGATTTACTAATAAAAGAAAGGTCAAACGTGCATAATATTTTTAAACAAATATACAGTAATTTCAGTCATCATGTTTGCCAAAATTTAAAAATTTTGTTGTAATTTTTACTACAATATTTTCTCTGTACACAATAAAATTATTATTGTTGTTGTTGTTCTTATTATTATTCTCGTTGACGATTTTATGTGTGACAATGACCGCAAACGTATTGACGTAGTGACAAGGGTATGCAATTTCTGGTGGGTGAAAACTGGAAGGACTACTTCGACGTGGTGATAGTTCAGGCGAGAAAACCGAGATTCTTCACCGAGGAGTCACGTCCATTGAGAATCTATGATGAAGTTAAGCAAACGCAATTGTGGGATCGTGTTACCAGACTCGACAAAGGCGTCATATATCTCGAAGTAAATCCCAGTCTTTCGTTACGTCAAACGTCGGAAAATTACGCGATTTCGCCTACCACTTTTCGAGATATCGCGTGCTTAATTATTGCGAATCACCCTAGGGAACTGTCAAACAACTGCAAGACATGACCGGATGGCGGGGACATCAGGTGTTGTATTTCGGCGATCATCCATACAGCGACTTAGCAGATGTGACTCTGGAACATGGTTGGCGAACGGGGGCGATAATCAAAGAATTAACGGTGATTCTCAAATATGAAATTTTTACTTTTGCTATCGAATGAACAGAAAATCACGATGACGTCAAAATGACAACGAAATGATCGAATTGTGATAAATGAGTTTTCTAATAATTTTTTTATCGTTTTTATACATCATTTGGACGTCATCGTGATTTTTTATTTTGCCTGGGAAATCATCAATTTGCTCTGAGAGAGAGAGAGAGAGAGAGAGAGAGAGAGAGAGAGAGAGAGAGAAAGAGAGAATATGTATGTAACGGCGCATGAAATTAGATTGAAATAGCAGACCGCGCGCGTAAGGTTGCATATTACGTTCCAATTTAATTACAGCACGAGATCGAAACTTTGAACGACCCAAAGTTCAAAGAGAACGCGAACTGGCTTCAGATGTTAACTGGTCTGATCGAGGAGCATCAGGATTACGAAGGGCCGGAAGTGCAAGATGTGCTGGACGAATGGATGGAGGAGCGGGACCAACTGAGAAACGAGATCAAGTCGGTCTTCAATAAGCAGTTCGGCTCGGTGTTCAGAACATATCACAATCCGACGTATTTCTCCCGGAGACTGTTCAGATTCGCCGACATCTACATGAGCTCGATCACGAATCTCTTGGAATACTCCACGAGCCACACTTTTTATCCCAGACGGGGTGTGATGCCGCACGAGTACACCAGCTACTTCATGTAAAACTCCCCGTTACTCCTTCAGATTAATGTCTGTTATCTGTTGTTTGCGTGAGTAGCGAGCGTTTTTAGAGCGGTATAGTCAAACTAGCTCATATTATGATGGCGAACTGATAACAACAGTATTTTCAATCGCAAACGAAGCCTGATGTATTTCTCGTCGTGACGCGGAACTGAGATGGCTTGGCTTTCTTGTCCTACGCTAAATGTCGTCTTATTATCAGCCGTGCACGCGTAATTACATGTATATTGCATGTAAATCTATAGCGATCAATATTAATGCGCTTTTATAGCCGCGTAGTTACAGTTGATTTGCATTGAAATATATGTAAATGCGATAAAACGGCCGGGGCGTATCACGAAAGCTCTTATATTATTATTATTATCATGACAATAGCCGTATTATGTAAAATGAAGTGATACACCATATTATAACGAGCAAAATGCATAGAATAGGAAAGCAAGTAAAAGTTCAACAGCTGTGTACAAAGTATTATTGGGCCATATGAGACTCGTTAAATATTTCAAAAAGAGATTCCAGTTACTGGAGAATTTATTTTTAGTAAATTATACAAGAAAGAGAGATATTTATGAACAAAGCGAAATACGAGTTTTGGGGAGAATACCGATCCGTATTGTGTTCATTTATTTTTGCGAAGAGATTTATATTCGTTATTAACGCACGGTGAATTCAAAATGTAGCTTCATGACGAATTTATGTGACTACTACATGTCTCTATATAAGCGCATGCAAACATTTTGACATTGATCCTTAGTCGAAATTTACATTATCTAATTGAAAAAGTCAAACAGTTATATCATTTCATTGCTATATCAACACTGTCTTTCTTTCTTGTTTAATTATTTACCGAATTGCCATATCTATATTATTGCCACCTTTACCTAAAAATTCAAATATGTACGAGTAAATTTTTAGTTATAGAAGATTAATAAATATGTGAAAATAAGAAGTTATGTACTGTGTAAAGTGATTTTATCTACAGCACGCTCTTAAAATTTAGTTCTTAGGGGCGCTAAGTGTTCAAAAATGTCAAATACTTCAATCAAATAAACACTGTTATGTATGTATGAGATTCCTATAACAGATATATTATATTTATTTAATGTATTTGTAGATGAAAAATGTATCATGTTAATTAAATATACCTTTATTTTCAATATAAAACCGATGGGATTCTATACAAAAACCTATCAAAGAGCGTCTTGAATCACATTTATTTACTTTTATACTCGAAATTTTTCGAAGAATGTTTTTATGCATAAATTAACATAAAACAATCTTCAACCGCGATGTTCGTACGGCTCAGTTGGCCTTTGTTTTGGATCTGCGTAGTTTCAAATTTTGACGCATTTAACACGGCGAAACTTTAGCGATATGTCTTGGAATTAGATTAAACCGAAGGCTTAAATGTGATAATATTTTCCACATACTTATTTAGTATTAATCAATGAGAAGAAACAACAAAAGAAGAAAGCCCGGAAATGTATAACGATAAGGTTTGTAGACACAGTTAGACCGCTGCTAATGATAATTTGTGTCCATCCCAGAACAGAAAAATTCAATGTATGTGATATTTTTGTGTTTCCTAAAATGCCTGAATCTGCTATTTGATTTCTCTTTTCTTCTCTTTGATTTTACTACTTTAAAGAATATTGACGAAATACTGCCGCACTAATTACTTTAGATTATCATCTAATTTCCCGATCACTGAAACTTCTCGTTTTTTTCTTTTTTGGAAAACAACGCGATGACGTAATTGCTACACAATTGCTACTTTAGTATATCCCCGATACGACAATAAGTGAATTGAGCGCATCTCAAGATGTGTATGCATTTCAAAAGGAAGTCGCGCTGCAAAGACTATCTATGATAGCTCTTCAGCAAGTTCGTAGAAATGTGATCTTCGTCAGCGATGCAACGGCGAGCGAGAATGCTATAGAGGAAACGCGAAAGCAGTCTGCCAGCATATTCTTACAAAACTTGGATAGGATTTCCAAGATGGGAATCTTGGATGATACAGTAAAATAATCCATTATCATGTAGCGAGATTAAATTAGAATAAAAAATATAACATGTATTAGAATTCAAGGTTGAGTAATAATCAGTTAATTAGTTAGAAGTTAAACTGAAAAGTTAACTTTTCATTTTAACTAATAACTTAGTTAACTTTATAAATTAATCAACTTTTAACTTAAACTTGTCATTTTAGAATGTATTAAGTTTAATTTAATATTTTTGTTTGTACAAAAGTTAAAAATAATTCATCAATATTAAAATTATTTTCTGTGTGGAAAACAAAACAATCGGTATCTTTTTATAAAAGACTGCCTTTTTATTATTTCACAAAAATTTAACCTACGATTAAAAAGTTAATTATGCAAGAACACGTATATATTACTTTATATAATTGACTTCTAACTTAAATATGTTAATTTAATTTTTATTAAACCCTTAAGTTAGTTTTTATTTATATAACTTTTAACTTAATTAAATTAATTTTATAAGCCATTGGCTTATATAGCCATTGACCTACATATAACTTAATTAAAAAATATTAAAAAATTTACCCAACCTTCTGATTAGAACGAAACAATAGTTATCTGCATATTATATCAATTGAGAGCAAATGCGCGTCTGCAGGTTGATATCGAGTTTAAGGATATGGAAGGACCAGACTCCACGTTCAATTCTTTTTTAAAAACATCGAAAGGCGAGGAATTTATAAAAACGAACCAACGTAGGAGTACAGTCGCTGATCGTAAATCCAGTATATTTATATCGAGCGTTCCAGCTACAGGCACAATTACGCATGACATAAAACGTAAGGTGATGAAAATATAAAATCATATTAAACAGAGTAAAGAAACGCATAAGAATACTTATAAGTAAACCTACCCAAAAAGTACACTCCGATTTATTTGGCACGAGAATGGTTCATGTCTCAGCTATGCCGATTTTGTTAAAATTATTTAACTATGTCCTGTATTCAATTTATTTCTTATGCATTTTTTGTTGCACTTGTTGATGATAAGAGTGAGAACATTAAAAAGCTATGAACTGCCCGTGAAACTCAAAGTGGGCCAAAATGAAAAAATATGACCTAAATATTTTTTATACTTCTACATTTGTGCCAAATTAGAAAGAAATCGGAGTGTAACTTTTGGGTAGGTTTACTTGTTAGTTGCCAAACATACTTTTATTTCATGAGACATTATTGGCTCTATTAATTATTTTTTTCTTAAATTAATGTCTAAATGCGTCTCAGACTACTTGACTGAAACTTCTTTAAAGTATAGTACGATTAATCGGCTCTTAACACATTGACTGCTACACTAATTTCCACTAATTATTTCAATGCTCAACTCAACTTTGAATTACTAAAAATATATGATAAGTAAATACAATTCACGCAGCGCATATACTCGTTATCCACACAGACAACACGAACTTCTAAAAGAAATATCTTAGAGACGTCTAAAAGACATTTAAATAAAATAAGATGTTTTTAAAACATCTTTTAGAAATGTGTGCTGCCTGGATGACTGGTTTCATTGGCTCTCTATCGTATTTAATTTGTTATAAATAGTTGATTTATATACATTTTATACGTAAATTAGTGAGCCGATCACTGGTGACAGTCTCTCAACGTGTTAATATAATCAATTATTCTCCGCGCGATTTGAATGAGAAATTTCTTTTTTAGTTGTACTATGGTCGAGTTTTTTAATTCATTGATGGATCCATCGCATGATGCGCAAATGCAATGTTTCGCTGTATTTACGCATCATGCAATGGATCCATCGATGAATTAAAAAACTCTCCTTATCTAGTCTACGCAATGTGAAGTTTTCGTGAGTGTGGAAATAATAATCCATCAATATGATAATTGTGTGGAGAACAATCACTTCGTGCCCTTTACATTTACATATCACACCACACGGTGCTCTCTCTCTCTCTCTCTCTCTCTCTCTCTCTCTCTCTCTCTCTCTCTCTCTCTCTCTCACGCGCGCGCGCGCACGCCCTGGCTCGCTCGCTATTTTATACGGTACGCTCCCCCGCTTTTTACACCCCGTGCGCGCGCCCGCCGCCGTCTAGCCCGTTTTCGTTTCTTCTCCGCGTCTCCGCGCGTTTCCTCTCCTCCCTTCTTCATCCCCATAAAGTCTCTCGAGGCGTCGCGACGAGGGCGTGAGCGTCGGCTGGTTACATTTCCTAGCGGACCATTATTTCTCTCTTACACCCACGCGCGCGCGACGCACACACACACAAAAGTACATACGTCCGCACACACACAGGCGCGTTTCATACGCGCGTACACGACGCACGGGTCGCAACGGTGCACGTATACGTGGGCACACCGCGTTTTCTCCCTTTTTGCCCCCACTACTACTACTACATTACCTTTTCCGAGCAGGGAGTTAGGAGTGTCTCGCTGCATATTAATGAAAAAATTTGTGACTTCCTCCGTCATCCAGCAGCAGTAGCAACCGCGGCAGCGGCGGCGGCGGCAGCAGCAGCCGCTGCATCTGCGAAAAAAGGAAAAGCTGGAAAAAGAAACGAGAGATTTCTCACCGTCGGCTCCCTCTATCTCTCCTCTCGACCACGTCTATCTCCCTGGACGCGTTTTCTCCACACCGCCTCCTCCTCCTCCTTCTCCTCCTTCTTGTACGCGACGAGCAACGTCGTTATAACGACACCGTAAATAAGATATTTCTTGAAATGAGGCTGACGTTTTCTCGTTTCGAAGAGAGCTCTATCTGAAAATGACTGGAGCTTGTTGCGGGGGAAGATGCGGGTCTAATAGATAGTTTGGATCGGTTATGCGTCGGTTGGGCCAATTGTTGTTAGAACATTGTTAAATAATTCGTGACACTTCTGTGAGAACCGATTATCGAGAGACAAGTCGCGGGAGATCTCCTTGTCGGGATGAGTTTTAACTTATAGCATGGAGAGACCTTCGCGTATTAACACCGCTGCGGCGGTCATCAGCTCTGCGATGGTACCGCGTAAGCTACGTATAAGGTATAATTAATCGCATCTGCGAAATTGGTTGTGCGGCCAGAAATGTAACAATGAAAAAATATTTTTTCTTTGGGTACCGATAACATTACTAAAATCTAAATTCTTTTATTTCAATGGAATAAACAATTGTTTTGATAGAAATGTTTATGTGTGTAAAAAAAATGTATATTTCCTTATTTAAAAAATATTTTATACTAACACAATATGTTATTAGTGTGCCAAGAACCAATGAAAATATTTTTTATTTCTTAAATATTTTTCTCTCACAGCCTGGAATGGAATTTATTCATATCTTGGGCTTTCATAACTCCTTAGAACTTTTACAGCAAATTCATTTTAGAATGCTAAAATGAAACGTGCAAAAAAGAAAGTAATTAGGTAAATCAACAGCTCAATTAGTGCGACAAAATTATTTAACATTGTACTAAATGATAATCACGTACAGATGATAACAAGATTTATTATATCATCCAAACGTTTATCGCGCTAATCAACTTACGCTGGCTTTCATTGACCTTTTACATTTACTGATTGAACGTCATTAGAGCTATAATACATTTATTTTATTAGAGTTGGGGAGATAGAGAGGGGAGGAGTAGCGGAATAGCGACTGTCGATCGAATAAGTTAATTAAAGCCACGTACATCAACAGCAACGACGCGCTCCAGCATTAACGCGATACAGCTAAATAAGGTTCGGGTTCAGCGGATAAGAGGAACGGTCGGATCAGGTGGGCACACACGCGGGTTTCACATGTTATCTATCGGAACGACTTCGACGTCGCGTTCGTGCGGAACACGATCAGGTGCCGCGCGCGTAAGTGCATTTCTAAGACAGCATAATGGAGTCGTGTTTAGGAGTCGAAGCCCGTTTTACAGCGTTCAAGGCGCGCGGCGGGTCCCGGCCGCCCTCAACGCGGAGGAAGCATTTAATGTCGCGCGCAGCCGGCAATAAATGTTAGCGCTGAATTTAACCGCGCGCGTGCACGGCTCCAGACGAAAGTCCGGGATTTCGAAATTTCGAGCCGACCGTGTGTCTCGAGTGGCGCGAGCCGAGGGATCGATTTCGGGTGTAAGAAGTTCGACGCGCCTCTCCCGGCTCGCCGTAATCGTCGTTATTGTCGAATCGATACTTCCGACGACGTACCAAGTGCTGCACCGAGTGCTCTCGTATATTGGATCTTAAGATCAGTCTGGTATCGGGCCGATTATCGGATGTCGGATTCCCGATATTAGTAGCTGGCATCGGCGCAGCATTGGTCCCTATATTACTCGGACAATAACCCAACGGATGATGCTGTATGATTCCCAATGTTCAGCAACTATCAAACTTAAAGGACTGCGTCGATAAAACATTTTGTGTTGATAAACGCTACATTGTCGAATTTACATGCATTCTTGTGTAGTTTTTGTGTATTCTTGTAATGGTTTGTTCACAATACTTAATTGTGAAGCTAATTAAAGGGTTCTCTCTTAGAATCATAGAGTGGGAGCAAAAAGCTCGTCTGTATGCTGGTCGCAAGAAAAATCAGATTTTTCTGCACTAACAAGGGAATACCGCGAACCCGAACTCTTTGATTTTGATACACTTTTGTGAGTATGTAGAGTAAATCAATACCTGAATAACAGTATATTCCATTTGTGCCCAATCGCTATTTAAAAATATGATATACTCTCTCAAATTAAAAAGGATGATTCCACTTTTTCGTGTATTACTTTGAAATTAAAGGAGATAGAAAAATATGTTTCGAATAAAAGTTTAATGGTAAGTTAAGTGCTGTAAATTGATATAAGCATAAATAAAAAAATCTTTTTATTGTAAAACAAATTTTTATAAGTATTTTTTATTTATGTTTATGTCAATTTACAGCACTTAGCTTACCACTAAACTTTTATTCGGAGAATTTTGTCTATCACCTTTAAGAGTAATACACGAAAAAGTGGATCGTCCTTTTTACTTTGAGAGTGTAAATCATACCTTTAAATAGCGATTGGGCACAAATGAAATATACTGTTATTCATGTACTGATTTACTCTACATACTCACAAAAGTATCTCAAAATCAAAGAGTTCGGGTGTTCACGGTGTTCCCTTGTAAGAGAAAAAATATCTAAGAAATAGTAGATATTTATTCGATGGATAGTAACAATAGTAATAATATATTGACTTAAATTCTTTCATTTAAACGGAATAAACAATTGCTTTCATGAAAAACTGAAGTTTTCTTAAAATTTCCAATGTATTCCTTAATATCTTAAGGAAAATATATATATTTTCTTATTTAAGAAATATATTAATATAAGTAAATATGTTATTTGTTTCCACCCAAATAAATATTCACTATTTTCTTGTTATTTTTCTCTCAGAATGCAGAATGTCTAAGAGAGGTACTAATAATTGGTTGTTCAATGTTGCATGGAGTATGGCACTTCTTCCTCATTTTCGAATATTTAAACTCGTAATATATCGCAAAGAAGACTTCAGCCGATGACGTGAACGGTGAACATTGGACGAGCCGGATGAGCCGAGATTTAGGCACGTTCCGACAGAATCGTCCGACACTTCTATCGTGGACCACCGAGAAGAGATCACCGACGGAACTCTCTTCTCGGGGCCGTTGATTCGAAACGAAACAACTTATGCGCACGTCTGACTCAGGTTCCTCGTTATTTCGAATCGTGTCATAAAATCTCAATCTTAACAACGCACGCGAGGGCACACCCCACCCTGTAGGCCGGAATTGAAAGATTCCTGGGAACGCGCCGGTCGGGCCCGAAGAAGAAAAGAGAGATCGAAGGTAGGAGAGGATAGAGAAACCGCAAATATCTCCTTTCGACCGCGGACGCTTTGCTAATGAACCCTCTCATCGCCCTCATCGCGCTGATTAACGACTCCTCGAACGAGCCGACCAGCCTTCGCGCGCGCTGATCAATATCACGCTTTCTTTTTTTTCTCTGCCCCCTAGAAGATTATTTCTGCGTGAGCGGGCGCCGTGACTCAAACGCGCATCCCGCGACTCAATTTTCTAATTACTTCTACGAATTAGCCGGTGTGGTCTCCACGTCGTCGAGTCGCTCGATCGAGCTCGGCGCATCGGTTTGGTCGGTAGAATTTTCGATATCGCGCGAAATGTAAAGTTGCGTCACTCGCCGCTCATTCCGCGAGCAAGTGTCTCTTCCCCGTGTGTGCGGTGAAATATTCTTAACCTTTAAATTTAATTTCGTAAACAGGCGCACAGTTTCTCCCTTATCTCGCCGGTGTATCTCGCCCGCGAGTCCTCAATTATACTCGTTATCTCGTCATCAGCGACGTATATCGCTAAGACATAATTTGCAAAACACAAGTGCCCTCTCCCCGGGAAGGACGCTGTACGATTAATCGAACGCGCGGCCGCGCGGCGAGCCTCGATTCGTCATCCGAATTCCAAGGATACATTCCCCGACAAAGCTCCGGACACTTTTATGGAGGGGCTCTGTCATTACGCGGAAGAGCAGTAGTACACGGGCAACAAAAAAAATAAGCGGGGGGGTGGGAGGAAGGAGGAAGGACAAAAGAGGCAAAAACACGGAGGGAAATAATCGTAATCGCCGCTTGTCCGTAGGAAGGAGCATAATGAGCGAGCCGCTAATAAAATAATTATAATATTGGGAGCCCGGTAATAGATTCCCGGAACGCATTAACCGGTATCTTTCTCCCCTTTCTCTTTCCCACTGTGTATGTGTGTGCGTGTGTGTGCGTGTGTTTCTCTCTCCCTCGAGATAAATCGCGCTCGCAGAGCGTATACCAAACGGGAGAGACGCCTGTGCGCTTATGCACGCGTGCAAGACACGTGCAAAATCGTGGCACGTCGCGATCGAGAGTCCCGACCGTACGTACGTACTTACACACTCGTAGACTCTCGCGCGCACGCACGCACATGTACACGTAGCTGCGCCACGTGTGTCGGCGGCCGCAGGAACGCGTCGACGTCTAATATTCTCGGTATGTGGAAATTACCGAGCCGTATAAACTGCCGATCGGACAGGTGGCCGACAAATCGAGTCGAGGAAAATATACGAGGTGCCTCTGTCTCCCCATGCCGCGCCCCTCCTTGTACCCTTCCCCTTCTTGTCTTTTGTACACCTGGAGAAGATCCCTCGTATCTATACAGTTTCGCCACGAGCGCGCGATGCGTTTTTTCCTCCGTTGATTAAACAGATATATACATATAATGTATATATGTATATGTGTGTATATATATATATATATA